CCTCCCCTCGCCTTCGCCTCTTTGGGGCCTCTTGGGAGCCCCTCGTCGCCACCGCTGGATGCGCCTCGAACCTCTGATTAGGGGAAAACGTTTGCGGGGGGAGTCTGCTCGTCGGTCAGAGGGGGGAAGAGGTACCGATGCCGCTGCTCGTCCTGGAGGGCTCTCGTCGCCACGGCTGGATGCCAATGCAGAGGGACAGGGAGCAGCGGTACTGGTACTTTTTTTTCCCTCAGCCGGGAGACCACGGCGCGGTGGGGAGCCCTCGAGGACACCGTTTCGGAGGGGGGATGGGCTCGTCGGACGTTGTCGTCGGCTCTCGGCGGCTTCCCAGTCGATGAGCCTCCGGACGTGAGCTAGGCCAATGTGTGTGTGTGTGTGTCCCCCTTTCAGATCCGCCGACAGCACGCCGCCTGTGCCGGCCCTCCTTGCACCGTCTGCGCCGCATCGAAGGGCTTCGGTCGATGCCCACCGCCCACCAAACCACCGCAGCCCAACCCGTAGGCCCCGATTTCCCTTCGCTCCAGCGGTGGGGGGCGGGTGTCGGGGAACATCGACAAAAAACACAGAGGAAGCCCGTACCCCCCCCCCCCGACCCGAAATTCGGGTCTTCGGGCTGCGCTGGGGTGGTCTGGCAGGTGCTCCGAGGATCCCCGGTCCGGCCCCCGGGGTGCCTCCCTGACCGGCCCGAGGCGCCGGAGGCCTACGCGCTCGAGGCCCCCACCCCGGGGGGGCCGCCCGCCGCCCGCCGCCCCGTGCCCCCGCCCGCCCCCCGCCCGGAGGAGAGTCGTGCGGGGCGCACCCCCGCGGCGAGCAGCAGTTCCAGGCGGGCCGCCCCGGGGAGGGGCCCTCTCTGGTGGGCCTGTCTTGCACGGTTGCTGCCACAGGCAGGAGGGGTGGGTGGTGGGGGAGGGGTCCTCCTCCTCCCCCGCCTCCTCCCCCTCCCCCCCTCCTCCCCCTCCCTCTCCTCCTGCTCCTCCTCCTCCTCCTCCTCCTCCTCCTCCTTCTCCTCCTCCTCCTCCTCCTCCTCCTCCTCCTCCTCCTCCTCCTCCTCCTCCTCCTCCTCCTCCCCCTCCTACACCTCCTTCCCTTCCTCTCCAACTTATGGCAGTGGTGGTGGACAGCAGGCCCATCACTCACCTCCTTAAAGGAGCGGAGCTTGTGTTAATCGAAGAAGAACAAGCGCCACAAACATACACTTTTGTGGCGCTTCGCGCGGGTTTCTTTGATCGGCGCCGGGCCCCCCCGGCGGCGCCTCTGGCGCCACCTGGCGCGCTCCGCGCGCCAGGGAGGGGGGTCGCTGCTCTGGAGCGCGACACTTCTGGGTGAGGTGGGGCTCGTTTGGAGTCCTTGGGTTCGATTCGCTGCGGTTTCGATGGCTTCCGACTCAGAGTCGACTGATTTGGCTTCGGATTCCGATTTTGGCGCCTATTTCGCAACGGAAGCCGACCAGCCCGCCGACTTCCGCCGACTCGACTTCTCCCGACTCGGCTGCCGATTTCCGACGATCCGATTCATTTCGATCGCGGATCCGACTTATCGATTACCTACTCCGCTTTCGCTTCCAGGCAAAACCTACTCATACCATGCGCCTCCTCGTCAAGCAGCCTGACCGTTGCGGGCCACCGCAGGGGTAGTTCGGTATCGCTGGGTTCCCGTTTGGTAGCGAGGGTGGCCAAAAGCGAGGTAGGTTCGCTTGCCTCTTGGTGGGGGGAACAGGTCCTGAGGCAAACGGGTGCTTAGTTTTTTCATTTTTTCGGGCTCCTGGGGCCCTCCACGGGCCCCGGGATTACCAGAAAACGACTCCGGATGAAGAGCTGGTCCTGGGGGAAGGCCCCAGGGTCCAGGACCCGTTTCGCTCAGGGTTTGCTACCCCAAGCGGAGCTGCTGGCAGGGGCACGCGACTGGGCGCGACGTGAAGGGTGGGTGGGTCCCTTAGAAGACGACAGAAAGCCTGCCAGACAGAACTTGCCATTCTTCCACGCCTCAACGTGCAAGGAGGCACGGTGGCGGATAATAACCAGCATCATCACCGATTTCTTAAACAACATCCGAACGAGTACCCGAAACAACATATCAACACATCTCCTAAATCATATCCTAATCAGTATCCTAGGCAATATCCTCATCATTATCCCACACACTATCCTGAACAGTACCCTCAAGACCATCCTACACCATAGCATAGACGACATCCCAAGCAATATGCAAGCTAACATACCCCCATTGGCATTACGAACAATAGTCTGCACACTATCCTTAGTCATACCCAAGGGCTTGCACGAAACACATCCCCAGCGATATCGCTGCCGTTCTTCCACCGCTGCATGATCACTATCACAACCAATCGATAGAACCACACCGCGAGCAATACCCGAATCGACATCCCAGGCAACGACACCGGGTGAGCAATCCTACCCGTGTATTCCCTGGAGCGCTCGCCTGCACTCCACGCCTGCCCCGTCCCTCCCTCGCTCTCTCTCGCTCTCGCTTCTTCTGTCTGCCGCATGTCTCCTACATGCACCTCTCGGATTCCATGCTCTGCCACTGTCTCAGACAGAACCCTCAACTCGACACTCATCTTGTATGTGCATACCTGTGCAGGTGAGGGAGATCCCAGCCTTGGGGCCCCAGACCCGGGCCTCCCTTAAGCACATCGGTGCCACATTCCCCCCAGCCCGCTTCCCCCGAGGTCCCCCCGGGGGTCGGGGGTCCAACACCGCTTGAGCACCCAGGATGGTCTCGACGCGGTCCAAGTGGCCTCGAGGACAGCCCGGGAGCGTTCCAAGGCGCCCCAAGATGGCCCGACGACGGCCCAAGGCACCTCCCAAGAGGGTCCTTATGGGCTAGCCACATAGATGTTCCTACAGTCGGGGCGCTGAAGAAGGTTCGTTTGGGAGGGGCTTAGTGTTCATTAGCTGTTTTGCAGTTCGCCTTCGGTGTTCCTTAGGTTTTCGATGGGAAATCGAAGCTTAGCTTGTGGAGAAAGGGGGCCTCGTTCCTTATGTAGGGTTCCTTAGGTCAACACCACGGCTGTTTTTTGTTTCAATGCTTTTAGCCTTCTCCTCTTTCCGAGCTTCTGCTGCTCCAAGACGGCCCGAGAGTCTCCCAAGACCCGCCCAAGATGGTTCCAAGACGCCCCCCAGACGCCCCCAAGACGCCCCCATGGCGCCCCTAGAGGTCCCAAATAGGTCCCAATGGATCTCCAAGGGAGCTCCGAAGGACAAAACAACTGCTTTTCATTACGCTACCGAGGAACCCCACATACTTCTATTATGGCTGGAGTGATTATAGCTGAAGTGAAACATGTGAGAATGATGTTGGTGGCCGTTCACTGCGCCCCCCCTGGGGTGTCGAGAATTTGCTACGCCCGCTATGCCCTGGACGACCGGCTCGGACAGCGGCCGCGCTCAGAGACCACCCCTGGGCAGCCCGTGTGGTTTCGAGAACGTGCCACGCCTGCTACGCCCTGGACGACCGGCTCGGATAGCGGCCGCGCTCAGAGACCACCCCCTGCGCACCCCCTATGGTGTCGAGAAAGTGCCACGCCTGCTATGCCCTGGACGACGGGCTCGGATAGCGGCCGCGCTCTGAGACCACCCCCTGCGCACCCCCGTATGGGGTCGAGAAAGTGCCACGCCTGCTGCGCCCTGGACGACCAGCTCGGACAGCGGCCGCGCTCAGAGACCACGCCCTGCGCACCCTCCATGGCGTCGAGACTATACCACGCCTGCTATGCTACGTCAGGCCACCAATTGTTGAGCTGGCGGCGGTACGTATAACATGCGGACAGCACCATTCCGTGGTCACAGCTGCGCGAGTTCTCCAAGTTGACCTCGTCACCTATCTGAGTCACTGCGTTCTTCATCGCCAAACACGGAGCTGTCAAAACTTCCATGGCAGCTTTAAGCGGCATGTCTGCCACGCGCAGGTACCGCCGTTGCTGCCCGCAAGCGGAATTACAGGCGAGACTGCGTGGAAGTGCGTGCACGCAGAAACGGTTTGAGCCAAGGTGTTTACAGTTCTGGATAACATGCGGGCTCGCCTGCCGCGTTTTGCGAGCCCGAAGCGGATAGCATTCCCACCCCCAGCGCAGCCCCTGTGGTGTCCAGGAAGTGCCGCGCTTGCCACTCTTTGCGAGCCAGGAACGGATGGCGCTCCCACCCCCAGCTCGCCCCCCACGGTGTCGAGGATGTGCCATGCCTGCCACGTTTTGCGAGCCCGAAGCGGATAGCGCTCCCACCCTAGTTCACCCCCTGTGGTGTCGAGGAAGTGCCACGCCTGCCACGCTTTGCGAGCCCGCAACGGATAGCGCTCCCATCCCAGTTCACCCCCTGTGGTGTCGAGGATGTGCCATGACTGCCACGCTTTGCGAGCCCGGAACGGATAGCGCTCCCATCCCAGTTCACCCCTTGTGGTGTCGAGGATGTGCCACGCCTGCCACGCTTTGCGAGCCCAGAACGGATAGCGCTCCCACCCACTGCTCACCCCCTTGCGGTGTCGAGGACGCGCCGCGCCTGCCACGACTTGTGAGCCCGAAACGGATAGCGCTCCCACCGATAGCGCAGCCCCTGTGGTGTCGAGGAAGTGCCACGCCTGCCACGCTTTGCGCACTCCCCGTGGTGTCGAGGGTGTGCCACATTTGCCACGCTTTGCGAACACGAAACGGATAGCACTCCCACCCCCAGCTCTTCCCTTGTGGTGCCGAGGAAACGCCATGACTGCCGCGCCTTGCGAACCCGAAACGGATAGCGCTCCCACCCACTGCGCAGCCCCTCTGGTGTTGAGGAAGTGCCATGCTTGCCACGCTTTGCGCTTTCCGTGCTTTCGAGGAAGTGCCACGCCTGCCACGCTTTGCGAGCCCGAAACGGATAACGCTCCCACCCGCAGCGAATAGTTTGTGGTGCCGAGGAAGTGCATGCCACGCCTGTCAGCTGTGCGAGCCCGAAACGGATAGTGCCCCCACCCCACGCTCCCCCACCTGTGGTGTCGAGGAAGTGCCACGCCTGCCACGCTTTGCGAGCCCAGAACGGATAGCGCTCCCACCCACTGCTCACCCCCTTGCGGTGTCGAGGACGCGCCGCGCCTGCCACGACTTGTGAGCCCGAAACGGATAGCGCTCCCACCGATAGCGCAGCCCCTGTGGTGTCGAGGAAGTGCCACGCCTGCCACGCTTTGCGCACTCCCGTGGTGTCGAGGGTGTGCCACATTTGCCACGCTTTGCGAACACGAAACGGATAGCACTCCCACCCCAGCGCATCCCCTGTGGTGTCGAGGAAGTGCCATGCCTGCCACGCTTTGCGAGCCCGCTCCCATCCCTGCTCACCCCCTGTGGTGTCGAGGAAGTGCCACGCCTGCCACGCATTGCGAGCCCGAAACGGATAGCGCTCCAACCCCCAGCACATCCCCTGTGATGTCCCGGAAGTGCCACGCCTGCCACGCTTTGCGAGCCCGAAACGGATAGCGTTCCCACCCCACGCTCACCCCCTGTGGTGCCGAGGAAGTGCCACACCTGCCGCGTCTTGCGGGCCCGCGACGGATAGCGCGCCCACCCCCAGCTCTTCCCTTGTGGTGCCGAGGAAACGCCATGACTGCCGCGCCTTGCGAGCCCGAAACGGATAGCGCTCCCACCCTCTGCGCAGCCCCTTTGGTGTCGAGGAAGTGCCACGCCTGCCACGCTTTGCGCTTTCCGTGCTTTCGAGGAGGTGCCACGCCTGCCACGCTTTGCGAGCCCGAAACGGATAACGCTCCCACCCGCAGCGAATAGTTTGTGGTGCCGAGGAAGTGCCACGCCTGTCAGCTGTGCGAGCCCGAAACGGATAGCGCCCCCACCCCACGCTCCCCCACCTGTGGTGTCGAGGACGTGCCACGCCTGCCACGCTTTGCGAGCCCGCAACGGATAGCGCTCCCATCCCAGTTCACCCCCTGTGGTGTCGAGGATGCGCCGCGCCTGCCACGCTTTGCGAGCCCGAAAGGGACAGCGCTACCACACGTCTTGGATGTATGGTGCAGTGAAAACGCCAGGCGTGCACTAGCGTTGTATGGTGTATGTTGTGTGAAGGTGTGTGTGTGTGTGTGTTTGTGTGTGCGAGTGTGTGCATGCGTGCGGCTGCATGGATTCGCGTGTCTGATGCACGTGCCGTGCATGGGTTGCGTGTGGGTGAAGGGAGAAAGGAAGTGGAGGAGGGGAGGAAGGAGGAGGGAGGGGAGTTGGTAGAGGAGGAGACGCGGGTGCGACGCGACAGGGATGAAAACAGGAACCCCACGAAACATGTGGGGAATCTATCTCGAGGTTATCGCTTCTCTGAGCTCCCGATGCGCCAAGACATCAAGGGGCCCATGCGATGTCCCCAAAACGGCCCAAGAGGCTCCCAAGAGAGCTCCATAACGGTCCGTAGCCATTTTGGCTCAATGCATTCTAGCTCAAGTTTTGGGTCACCGTTTGGGCTCTCACTCACAGCCTCAGCTCCTAGCACAGCGTGATCTCAAGACAGAGCCCGATGGCCTTCGAGGATGGATACCAGCTGCCAGCAGACGCCGAGTCAAGGCGCTGTTTTCGCTACCCTCGGCTTGGACATGTGCTCTTCACTGTTTTCGTTGCGACGACATCCGCCGTCATCGCGGCCGTGACTACCGTGAACGTCATGCTGAAGCACGCGGACAAGAGAGGCGTTCTCACCAGGCGTGCCGACGCGAGAGGCCTTTCTCAGTACATTGACACTGATGAGGAACAAAAAGCAGGCATCGCCCAGGGACCTGTCGTCATGAAGTACACAGGATGCTCCAATTGGCCCGACATCCTCATCAGCTCCACGAACATCGACAGCGCGGACGTCGAAAAACTGGTGCTGAAATGCTCGGAACTGTGCAGTATGGAGGACGAGTGCGAGTCCTATAACATAGCGATTCCAACTTCGACGACAATTATAAGTGAGCAAAAATTCTATACCCCTGATATTATCCTGCATTACAACATGTAGTTCGAACACTTGGACGGCAAATGCACGGCGAAGGGTAGGGCTCCGAAGCACAATTGCCTCATCTTCAAGTGGGGTTGCCAGTACGAGGAGAATGGATGCTTCGACCTGCTCGTGGGGAATCGGCCACCGCTTCAGCAAAAGCTGGCCAGCCAGCACCACATATATTGGTTGCTCAACCGCTAGGTGTTCCATTCGAAGACTTTCTTTCCATGAGGCCCTCTGGGAGCTTGCTACTTGATGGAGATTTGATTAGCTGTGGCTCTTCTTCCTAGCTGTATGGCATCCTCAGCTTAGGCAGAATCTAACACCTACCCTTCAATGTACGCATACCCACTGCTGCTTGCTGAGGGCAGAGAAACTGTCCGTATGTCAAAGAGGGGGTGGGCTACCGATTTCGCGCCCCCTAACCCCACCCAAGAGGCTCAGCACACGTTGCTTGCGTACATTGCAGCGCTGTTCATTGGATCTTGCTGCATTAGCGTTGCGCGACCGCGACGCACCATCTCTCAGTGTGTGAAGTAGTCTGCGTGCGCGGCTGATCCTTCCGTGCTCTGAGGCTGGACCTTGGCCTCGAGGCGGACAGGATCAATGGCAATGCTTCCCCTCGTTCTCCATTCGTCCTGCCCCTTCCTCAAGCTCCTGCTCCTTCTCCGTCTCCTCCTCCTCCTCTTCCCATCGTTGTGAACGGCGCGCGATCGCCCGTGTTTGTGCCCGGTGCTCTTGGATGCACCGTGCTTCAATTCCTCGCGATGTTTTCTCTTAATTTTGAGCCTACCGCCGCACAGTGACCCTTCATGTACGCCATCGTTCGCAGGATAACTCACCTAGGTGGTTGGACGTTTCCTTCGAAGGGCGTTTGAGGTAGCTCTCTGGCTGCACGCTTACCTCGCAGAGCGTGTCATCGTGCTGTCAAAAAAAGAAGAAGAACAAATGAGAGAGCTCCATAACGGCCCAAGAGAGCTCCAAGACAAGCCCAGGATACGCTCCATACGGCCCAAGAGAACCCCAAGACGTCCCCAAAAAGGGCCCAAGAGGAGGAACGCGAACCGACAATTCGAGCTGCCCGCACCAAGAAGCCCCCAGGGCGTCCAAAGAGGCCCCCCAAAGGCCTCCAGTAAGCCCCTAGACAATCCCAAGGGATAACAGACCTTGAGGTTCACATTGTTTGGAGGTTCTAGTTTTTCTGAGCTTACGATGCCACAAGACGGCCCAATAGAGAGCCCCAGGACAGCCCAATAGAGTTCCAAGACGGCCCAAGAGGCGCCCAAAGCGGCCCACCAGAGCCCCAAGACGGCCCCAAAGAGCCCCAATACTGTCCAAGGTTGCCCCATGATGTCCCCCAGAGAGCCCCAAGGCGGTCCAAGCGGGCACCAAGACTGGCCGAGAGAGCCCCAAGACTGTCCAAGAGGTGCAAAACAAGGCCCACTATTGCCCCAAGAGAGGAAACCGAACTATTGCCCACTATTGCCACAAGGTCACAGACGGGGAAACCGAACTCACATGTTGAGCGCTCCGCCCCAAGTGGACCCCCGAGGCCGCACATCAGGCTTTCAAGAGACCCCCAAGGGCCCCAAAAGAGGCCCCGAGAGTCCCCCAAACGGCCTCCAAGAGACTCCGAGAAGCTGCAGGACTCGCTCCACGAGGCGCCCGAAAAGCATGCCAAGAGACCCCTCATAACAGTCATCCAAGAAGCCCGGGGTCCTCCCCCCTTCGAAAATCCCCCCCCCTGCTGGACTCCCCCCCTGCTGGACCCCGGCACCCCCCCCCCTAACCCCTCCCCCCCCTCCAGAAAACCGGGGGGGGTCACTACCGGTTCGAACCCCCCCCCCTCCCCCCTGAAGAAAATTGGGGGGGTCACTACCCCCCCCGCACTCACCGCCGGCAAATGACTCCCGGGTCCCCAACACCGTCCGCACCACATCCCACTGCTGATCCCAGCACCACTGTCCCCACCACCACTGTCCCCACTGTTCCCACCACCGTCCCCACTGTCCCCTTTAGTGCCCCCAACACTGTCGCACTGTCCCCATTGTCCCCACCACTATTTCCACCACGGTCCCACTCTCACCACTTTCCCCACGGTCCCCACCACTGCCCCACTGTCCCCACTGTCCCCACTGTCCCACTGTCCCACTGTCCCCGCCGCTGTCCCACCGTTCCCACCACCTTCCCCACTGTCCCCACCACTGTCCCCACTATGCCCCTGTCCCATTGTCCCACCACCGTCCTCGCCACCGCCCTCACCACTGTGCCCCACCACCACTGTCCCCACAACTGTCCTACTGTCCCCACCACATTCCCACTGTCCCCACGCCGCTGTCCCCACCACCACCGTCCCCACCACTGTCCCACAGTCCCCACCACTGTCCCCACTGTTCCCACCATTTTTCCCGCTGTCCCCACCAGTGCGCCCACCAGTGTCTCACTGTCCCCACTCTCCCCACCATTGTCCCACCACGGTCCCACTCTCACCACTTTCCCCACGGTCCCCACCACTGTGCCACTTTCCCCACTGTTGTCCCACTGTCCGCGCTGTCCCCGCCGCTGTCCCACTGTGCTGTCCCACTGTCCCCACTGTCCCCACAACTGTGACTGTCCCCACTGTCCCCACCCCGCTGTCCCCACCACCACCGTCCCCACCACTGTCCCACAGTCCCCACCACTGTCCCGACTGTTCCCACCATTGTTCCCGCTGTCCCCACCAGTGCGCCCACCAGTGTCTCACTGTCCCCACTCTCCCCACCATTGTCCCACCACGGTCCCACTCTCACCACTTTCCCCGCGGTCCCCACCACCGTGCCACTTTCCCCACTGTTTCTACCACTGTCCCACTGTCCGCACTGTCCCCGCCGCTGTCCCACTGTGCTGTCCCACTGTCCCCACTATTCCCACCACTGTGACTGTCCCCACTGTCCCCACCACTCTCCCCACTGTGCTACTGTCCCACCACCGTCCTCACCACCGCCGTTACTACTGTCCCCACCACTACCGTCCCCACCTCTGTCCCACTGTGGCCACCACTTCCCGCTGTCCCCTCACCAGTGTCCCCACCACCACCGTGTCCCACCACTGTCCACACCACACCACTGTCCCACTGTCCCCACACCACTGTCTCCACCACCACCGTCCCTACCACTGTCCCAGTATCCCCACCGCTGTCCATTTGTCCCGAGGAGCGGGAATCGTTTGCTGGCGGCGAGCGATGGGGTGGGGGTTTCGAACAGGTAGTGACACCCCCCGGTTTTCGAGGGGGAGGGGTTCGAATTGGTAGTGACCCGCCCCGGTTTTCCGCCAGCAGCGGTAGAACACGCTCTTTCACGCTTCGTATGCACACCCAATGTTGTCCTTGGCGTTGTGATATCTGTTGTCTGTAGCTACTATAAGCATACTTGAGTTCGGACCTCCTCATTCATCTTTCAATCCTATATCTATCAGTGGCCGCTACTTGTTACATCTATCAGGGGTCTATTGCATCCTTCTGGCTTTCCTGTTCTCTCTTTCTGCTATGTGTTACATGCTGACTCTGCCAACCAACAGTCGATCTGCCCTCTGTTCTCTAATATACATTCTCTATCTTCTCTGTGTGCTTCACTAGATATCTGCTCATTCAGATGTCTAACTCCACGCTCCTAGTTACATATTTTCCCACCCTGGCCCTGGTTGCAAACGCCGACTCTTTCAGTTTCGAGCAGGACCCTTTCAGTGCAAGCACTGATGGGGGAACAACTTTCTGTTTTCGTTATCTACGGTATACTTGCTCTTTTTCTCTTTGTCTCTCGTCTCTCCCGCTCTCATCCCCCTGTGAATATGTGAATGTACATAGCTGTATTTGTACATCGTGGTATTTACGGTTTTTTTCCTCTTTCTCGTTTTCTCATTCTCTCTCTCTCTCGGCTCTCTCTCTCTCTCTCTCCCTCTCTCTCTTGATCGTTCCCTCTAGCTTCATCCATCCACTCATATGGTATTGATAACGATTACACCATAAGCTCGCTATGCTGGCTGTTAAGTCAGATGTCACATGTTCACATCGTTACGCACCAGATGCTCAATCTTGCGATCTCTATTTTTGTGTTTTACTATCTGATCCTTCACCACATTCGATCTCCTTTATCAGTCTGACCGTGGCCGCAAGGACCTGGATGCTTGGCTGCAGCCAAGAGCTCGAAGACCCAGGAACCTTGCCACGCTGGGAACCAGAACTTTGGTGCGGAAGCCTGGGAGCCCAGGAAGCCTTGAACCCAGGAGCCCGGCCGCCCACCGAGATCGTCGCCGTACACGCGCGTATGCTCTCAAGATCTGTAAGATCTCTTCAGTGCAAACACGGTTTGGGGAAGAACCCTGCACAGTCTCAGTTCCTCACTGTTGCACACCATCCTAAACAAGATCCAGGCAAGCATACGAAACGATACATTGCACCTCATCCATTACAGTACCCTTCACCACCATGGACAACACCATAAACGGTGACATGACAAACCTCCTGGATAGTTCCTACACCAATATCATGCGCAGCATCGTGAACATTACCACTCACAATATCCTAAGCAACGTTCTAAACAGTATCCAATACCAGACCATGATAGCGTAGCCAATCTCCTGACACATATTCCGAACATTATCGCAAACAATTAAGCAATGTATTATGTGACATCGTCCCCACACTAATCCCAACAGCAACATTCGATTCTCCTCTAACGCTATCTCCAACACTTCCCAATACCAGCAATTCCATGACCATTCCATGCTCAGCATTGTAAACTATGCCCCTTAACACTATCTCAAATCTCAAACGATCATCATATGGCCTCGATATCGCGTCGATACCATCTTTCAATGATCTCAAGCTGGTCTCATCATCAGTAGCGCGTGTGCCTCTGGGATTTACGTGCGCGTGGCGCTTGTGCCCCTCAGGTTGAAGTGCGGCCAGTGCTCGTGCCTCGAAGGTTTCAGTGTGCAGCGCCTGTGTCTCTGAGGTGTCTGCCTCGCGAAGGTCTGAGTGCGTGTAATGTTTGTGTCTCTAAGGTTTAAGTTCAGGAGGGAAAAAACACACAGACACAATTAATCGTCGATTCCCAGAAAATATGGGAAAATATGGAAAGTGGGGGGGAAGACAAAAACCCAGAACATATGGGAAAATATGGGGAATCCTTTTATTTGTGCGTATTTATTGAATCGCTTCGCTCATTCCGCCGGCCCGTGATATGGCATCGCTGGTTTTTGTCTGTGTGTTCGTTGCCCATGTTGCGCTCTTGGGGGCGGGTGTCGTTCGGACGCGTTGCGTGGGGAGTTTTGATGGTGAAGCAGTTCCCTGGGGGTCGTCTCTCGATGGGGCGAAATAGAGTCGTCGTCAAGATGCTTCTTTGGGGGGCCTCTTGGGGTCTGTTGAGAGGCCGTTCGGGGGCGCCTGGGAGACATGTTTGAAGCCTTCTGGGGCTTCTTTTGGGCCTCCTGGGAGTCTCCTGGGGCCTCTTGGCGACATCTTGGGGCCTCTTGGAGGCCTCTTGGGGCCTCTTTGGGACCTCCTGGGCGCCTTCTGGGACGGAGGGCTCCATTTTTGAGTTCTCGGTATCCCTCCTGAGTCCCTCTTGGGCCCGTCTTGGGGCCTCTTGGTCCGTCTTGGGCGGCACTTGGGCCGTCTTGAGGGCTCTCTTGGGTCGTTTCGGCGCCGTCTTGGGAGCTTCGTGGGCCGTCTTGGAGCGGTCTTGGGGGCCTCTTGGGCCGTCTTGGAGCGTCCGGAAGCCGAAAAAGCCAGAACACAAAAAACATCGAAAAAACCAATGAAAATCAACGATTTTGGCCTCTTGGGGCTCTCTTCGGAGGCCTCTTGGAAGGCTCTTGGGGCGTCTTGGAGGCCTCTTGGGCTGTCTTGGGGGCCTTTTGGGCCGTCTTGGGGTCATCTTCGGCGTCTTCGAGCGCTCTTTGGGCGTCTCGGGGGCCTCTTGGGCAGTCTTGGGGGCCTCTTGGGGCACTCTGAGCGCGCTCTGGGGAGCCTGAGAGGCCGCACCCAGAAGGAAAACCATCTCTGAGTAGACTTGGTCGGGCGGCGGTCGGGCGGCGGTCGGGCGGCGGTCGGGCGGCGGTCGGGCGTTGGTCGGGGTACTTTTCGCCGGGGGACCCCCAGGGGCCGCCCCGCGCGCGCGAACTAGAAATACTGTTAATACTGTTAACCAGTTACCGGAGATCTTAGCACGCCCTGGCCCGTTGGGCCGGCGAATTTGTGTGTCCTAATTTCCCTTTATAAGTGCCTGTGCCCATTCTGTCTCCAGGGTGCACGTGCGCGCTGCGCGGGTGCAAGCGGCACCGGGAGCGCCGTGCGCGGGCGGGCGCGCGCGCGCGCGGCGCACGGGGGTTGCGGGGAAGTGGCCCACACTACTGGAACAGGGCCGCCGGAAAGTTGGCAGCTTTCGCGGCTCGGGAGCCTTGAGACGGGGGTCAATGCAAACGAGGGTCGGAGGTCGTCGACGACGGCGGGGGCGATGACGACGAGGAGGTGGGGAGGATCCTGGGGGGGGGCGGTTCCGATGGGGGCGGCAGAAGAGACGGTGGGTCTGGCGGCCAGCGGCGGCTCCTCTCGCAAGCAGCAGCTCGACTGAGAGGGCGGAGGTTCGGGGCAGCGGGGGAGGGCCGGAGCGGGGTCGAGGAAGCGGAGTCGGAAGCCTCGAGGCGGGGGTCAATGCAAACGAGGGTCAGCCAGGGCACCAGATCCTGCAGGATCCTGCGAAGACCCCCTCTGGCTGACCCGGGTTAGCGAGCCGCTCGTGGCCGCGAGGCGGCCGCGCATATTGGCTGACTCGGGTTTGCGAAGACCTGCGTTGCGGTTTTTCTCCCTGCATTGCAGTCTTTTGGTGGCCTGTTGACCTGGGTCTGGATTGACCCGGGTCAGAAGATCCCCGAGGCAAGTGGCCCAGTTTTATCGGGAAATGGATGTTATTCGGACAGCTCCCACCCCCCGAGTTGTCCCATTTGGCCTCAACAGGCCACCCGAGGAGTCCGGGGCGGTTTCAAGATCCGAACCCTCGGGCGCGGAGTTCTTGGGTGTTGAGACCGCCCTGGCCTACTCGGGGGGGCTGTTGGCTCCACCTGGGACTTTTCGGGAGGGCTTGGAGCGTGTTTCTTTATAGCTTGGGGGCATTATAGCCCCCGCCCCCCCACTAACGGAACGCCCCTCAGCCCCCCCCAGTGCGCTCTGGGCACTGCAACGGTGCGCATTCGGATCTCCATCGGCGTCCGCATAGAAGTCCGCATAATTAGGAGCCTGGTCCGCATTGGGAATCTCATGGGGATCCGCGTAGGGAGGAGGAGGAGAAGAAAGAGGAAGAGGAGGAAGAGGAGGAAGAGGAGGAGCAGGAGGTGGAGGTGGAGGTGGCGGAGGAGTGAGAGGGGAAGAACGTCGCATGGTGCACGCGGGCACTGCGTTGGACATGGTTGCTATGGGTGGTACACATTCGCTATGGTGTACACCGGCGCTGTGGTGCACGCAAGCACTGTGGTATACACAGGCGTTGCGTCGCACACGGCTGTTGCGGTGTACGCAGGCACAGTGGCGCACACGCGCGCTGTGGTGCACGCGAGCATTGTAGTGTACACAGGCGCTGTGGGCAGGCCGCCACCTACATGCTGCTCGCGTCGTCGTCGTCGTCGTTGCTCGTCGCTCGTCGCTCATCGTCGTCGTGCGCGCGGGCGCGTCTGTGGTGCTTCAGCCACACGGCGGAGGGGGGGGGCGTCACATTATACACCCCCGGGAACAAGAGCTGCGAAGGTCAAAATGACCACTCCTGGCGGTTGGCTTAGCCATCCGCCGCAGGGCGATTTTGTGCGTGGCAGTACTCGGGAGCACTGCCAGGGAGGCCAGACACCCCTCACACGCCTTCCCTTGCTCGCGGAACTCAAGTCCGCGAGGTGTGCCGATCAGAATGCACCTAATGACAGCCTTCCCAGTAGGAGTCGTGACCGCACCCCCCGATGCGGCGAGGACTATAAAGTCAGGGCACTAGGCCTACACTCCCTGGGTCGGCTGCAACGGACCGCCGTCACGGCACACTTGCGTCTGCTGAAGGCACCCTCTACTTCCTTGGCCTTGATGCCCTCCGCCGCCTCTGGGGAAAAACGGCCGTCGACAGATACTGCCAGCATCAAGTTACCCTTGGCCGCCACGAGGAGGCTTTCAGTCCGACTTTTCGGCCAGGATTATACACCCCCCCGGCCCCCCCCTTTATAACGCCCAGTACCGCCACACATAAAGGGGCGCGCTCTTCTTGAGGCCAGCAGGGACTACTTGGGGGACTGTCTATGCGCATCCTGAAGCTTTTCCAGGAGCATCGATCTTTCCCCGTCGCGGAGGAGGATCGAGGATCGGAGGCGTGGTTGGCCGAAGGCGCTTCCTAGTAACCATGGCTGGCACAACAGCGCACAGTCCAATTCCTCACGCTTCGCGTAACCCATGAGAGCTGACGGCAAATGGGGGGAAGAGACACACATAGTGAAATTCATTTGGCAACCATGGTGAATTGAGCATACGTAGTAGGGGGAGGACGAGAGGACGAGGAGGAGGAGGAGCAGGAGAAGAAGGAATACAAGGAAGAAGAGGGCAAGGACGCGGAGGATGACGAGGCTAAGAACGAGTGGGGGGAGGAGGAAGACGACGACGAGGACGAGGAGGAGGAGGACGGAAGGGATGACGAGGAGGAGGAGGAGGACGAGGAGGAGGAGGAGAGGAGGATGACGATGAGGAGGAGGACGAGGAGGATGAGGACGAGGACTCTGGAAGCCATCTGGTGGTCTTGTTCATGCCCTCTTGGGTTCCCCTTGCGGCTCGCTCGGGGCTTTCTTGTGGCCCTCTTGGGTCTCTTTTGGGGGGTCTTCGGGTCCTCTTGGGGCTCTTTCGGAGGGTGTTGGGGCGCTCCTGCTGCCCTCTTGGGGCTCTTTTGGGGCCCTCCCGGGGGCCCTGAAAGGCCTCTCGGGGCCATCGTGGAGGCCATCGATCACAAGGGGGGGGGCTCCCAGATCTGCCTCCCCCTCGTGGGGCCATCAAAATCACCTCTTGGGGCGATCTTGGGCCGATCTTCGGCGCGCTTGGGGCCGTTTCTGGTGCATCTTGGGCCTCTCTTTGGCCTCCATGGGGCCATCTTGGGCCCATCTGGAGGCCTTAAAAGCGCATCGCAAGCGAAAAGGCTAGACGGCATAACTCGTTGATATTCTTGGTTGTCGAATGGTTTTAGCCTCTCTTGACGGTCCCGAGGGGGCTCTTGGAACGGTACTGTGGCCCTTTTGGGGCGATCCATGATGGAGATCATCTTGAGCGACCTTGCGCCATCTTGAGCCATCTTGGAGGACTCCAGCCCGTCCTCGTCCTTCCTTTCCTCCTTCTTCCCTCCCCCTTCTCCCTCCTGCGCCAGCCTCCTCGTCGTCCTCCTCCTCGCCCCCTCGTCGCTCTCGCCGCCATCCCTCCGATCAGGTGGTGCCCGACACCGGGAGCTCGGACCTCTGGATCCCGGCCCTGAACTGCACCCAGTGCCGCTCCGGGGCCGCGCGGTTCGACTTCAACCAGTCCTGCAGCGCGGTCTGGAAGGCTCCCCGCCTCCGCGGACGCCGACGAGGGGACTCATCGCCGACGCGTCGGCGAGTTCGGCGATGCATCGGCGATGCATCGAGGACGCTGGCGGTGCGAAAATCGGTTTCCACCTCGAGCCGCATTGTCGATGTGTCGTCGATGCGGCGCGATTCTCCGACCACATCTACTCGGAACCCATCTGGGAGGCTGAGTAACACTGGACCCCAGGATCCGTGGCCAGGGGGGGTCCTTGGACGCCCCTGCAGGTCCTCCACTGCGGGGCTCTCGGGAGCCCCTGCGGGGCCCAGGCAACTGGCCCAAGTCGGTCATGACGGCGGCCGAACGGCCCCGCAAAGGCCCCAAGAGGCACCAGACACCCACCAGACGCCCGAAGACGACCCAAAGGAGACTCTCAAGAAGCCTTCGAAACGCAACTGATAATTGATTTCCGATGGTTTCCGCATGATTTTGGGAATGCTCTGTTCTTCGGTCTTCTGGGCGTCTGAGACCGTCGCCCCACAACTACCCATGCTGGGCTAGTCCTCCCTGTGCAACCTTCGTCCTCTCCCTCCCCATCCCCCCCCATCCCCTCTCTCTCCCTCTCGTGCGCAATGCTCGATCGTACTCCTTCTGTTCTTGCTCCCCGTCCTCATTCGTCCCCTCCTGCCTCTCCAACTCTCTTGCTCTTGCCAAGGGCGATCGGATCAAGTTCCAGTACGGGGACGGCACCGTTGCCATCGGAGATTCTTTCACGGACACGGTGACCGTTGGCAGCCTCGTGGTCAAGGACCAGTTCGTGATCCAGGTCGACAGCGTAACTTCCGAGACGCACATGAAGTCGGACGGCATACTCGGCCTGGCCCACCACTACCAGAAGGACTCCAACTCCAAGGGGGAGACCTTCCTGACGACCCTGTTCAAAGAACACGCCGACTTGCCCAAGCAGTTCTCCTTCTACCTGACTGGCACTGCGGAGGACCCGAATTTCCTCTTACAGTTCCCAGCTGCACGTTGCCCTTTCCCTTTTTCTCCCCTATTCCCATACCCCCATCGCTCCCCTCCACCGTCCTTTTTCATTATTCCTTCATGCCTTCCGCTCCATTCGTTCCTGTCCTCCTTTCTCACGCATCCTCCACCCCGCCCTACAAAGGGGCGTCACCCAGGGGGGACGGGGGTGGGAGGGGCCTGGTGACGTACATACCCTTTCCTCCCGCAGGATTTGGGCATAGTCGGGAATGGGTACCCCATAGTCATCTCAGACCCCGCCGTCGACGGCCGTCGACGGCGTTGCTTCTCTGGGGATGGGGGGGGGAGGGCGGGGCCAGTGACGGCTGTTGCGCGGAGAAGTAAGAGACGCGTTCATGGTTTTCGCCGTTTCTAGCATCTCCACTCCTCAGATCGATCGACACTTTCGGAGGTCCTCCCAGGGGGGTCCAGAGCCTTTCCAAGAAATCCGCGCGGACCTCTGAACATTTATGTTTACGCCACCTTTTGTTTTCTTATGAGAGGAGGAAAACGTACGGGTTCCGCTCCCCTTGCCTTGGTTCCGCCTTTTGGGGCTTCCTGGGAGGCCCTCTTCGCCACCGCTGGCTGAATTCTCTTCGAAATTCTGGTCAGAACGCAGCCTGGGAGAGGTCTGGGGAGTAGCGGTCCCGGTACCTTTTGATTTCCCCAATTCCGTTGTTTTTCATGCCACTCTTCCCTTTCTATTTCCTCCTCTTCCCTTCCATTCCCTGAGGCCTCCTCCCCCTCCTGCCTCCGGGGTTCAGGAGCCCTCCAAGCTCATCTTCGGCGACGCGAATTTGAAGGAACTCTCAAAAGAGACGTCGTTTCGATACGGAAAGGCCCAGTACATGGAGCAGACAGACTTGTGGCTAACCAGCATTTGGTCCATAGGTTGGAGTACCACTGGCGTTGAGCACACGTTCAACGATAGGTTTAACGGAATGGGCTCTCCCGCCCTCGTCGACTCGGGTTCTTCGCTCATCGTACTGGATCCCGAGATATCTACGGCGCTTTGCGGTGGTGCGTGTGCGGGCAAGGGTGGCGCGGAGCGGTGACGTAGCAAAAGGAGGGGGAGAACAGTGCTTCATTGCCGCGAGACTCGGTATTGGTTTGGGCGAGCGAGTGCACACGCGGGTGGCCGAGGAACAGCAGGACGACGACAATGACGGCAGAAGCGACGACGCCACGCTGAGGAGGAGGAGGCGGAGGACGCGGAGGGCTGGACGACGGCGAGGCCACTGACGAAGCGCAGAGAATCGTGACGGTGAGTCGGAGGTCGACGACGACGGCGGGGGCGGTGACGACGAGGAGGTGGGGAGGATCCTGGGGGGGGGGCGGTTCAGATGGGGGCGGCAGAAGAGACGGTGGGTCTGGCGGCCAGCGGCGGCTACTCTCGCAAGCAGCGGCTCGACTGAGAGGGCGGAGGTTCGGGGCAGCGGGGGAGGGCCGGAGCGGGGTCGAGGGAGCGGAAGAGGAACATGTGGACGAGGAGGATGTCGACTACTACGAAGGTTACCAGCCTCGAACGTATCCCTATCCCTAAGATTGACACGCCCAACGGCGATGACAATCTTAGGGATTCGCCCTCAAAAACTAAGGGAATCCCTAAGATTGGCATCGTGATGAGGAGGTGCCCAGCATGGTGATAGGGATATGTTCCAGGCTGGTAACATGCGGATGGGGAGGATGTCGACTACCACGGAGGACAATGATGTTTCGAGGATATTGGGGAGGATGATGCGTTTGCGGAAGAGGACGGCGGCGATGACGCATGGGGGGCGACGCTGATGACGACGAGACCATGGAAATGCGAGCTGGGGAGAGGAGAGGAGCAGGTCGGGGAGGGTGATGATGAGGACGATTAGCAGGGAAGCTGGGTGCGAAGGAGATCGAGCTGGATCATGAGTGGCTTGAATATCAGGTTGGAGGATGAGAAGGAGCACAAACGATGAGACACATGTATTCAGTTCATCGAAGGTTTGTGGGTGCACATCACGTGGGAGGTGGGATCGGTGAGTAAAGACATATGGAGGGACGATGATGAGGATGCCAGGGGTAACTTTACATTTACTTTTGCTACACTTGAAAGTCATGTGTATCTACTTTCACCTGACAAAGGTATACGATATATGTGTACATTTGTGTATGTGTGTATGCATGTATGCATGTATGCATGCATGTATGTATGCATGCATGTATGTGTGCATGGATTGGATGCATGCATGCATGCATGTATGCATGTATGTATGCATGTCTGTATGTATATATGTATGTCTGTCTGTCTGTCTGTCTGTCTGTCTGTCTGTCTGTCTGTCTGTCTGTCTGTATGTATGTATGTATGTATGCATGCGTGCATGCATGCATGCATGCATGCATGTATGTATGTATGTATGTACGAATGTATGTATACATGTCTATACATATACACATATACGTACACATAGGTATGTGTGTGTGTGTTTCCAGATTCGCTGCCGCGCAACTCCGCCACCGTGCTTAGGGAAGTTGCGCTTCCAGGCCGCAGCGATTCGTGGTCGTGGCGTCGGATGGCTTCAGCGTTGCATCTGATGGAGCTGGCTTGCTGTCTCTTCCGGGAGGTCTGCCCATATCGGGGAGCGCTCATGCAGTCTTGGGACTGCGCCAGGTCGCGTAACTCATGGGCTCCAGATGTCGGTTCTTTGACAATGATGTATGCAGAGGTGGTTGTGCGTCAAGATGCCCTCCCCGCCCGCAAGCCGTCTCGCTCCCACCCGCCCTCCTAACACATACGTAGCACCCGAGCCTGGCCCGAGCCGCAGCATATGCAGCATTCGTCTTTGGATGGCCAGCTACTGGGGGCCGATCCGCCGCCGCCGCCGCCGCCGGCGCCGCGCCGCCGCCGCCGCCTTCGCTGTCCACCGCTGCCGCCGCCGCCGCGCTGCCCGCCGCCGCCGCCGCCGCCCTCGCTGCCAAATCGCCGCCGCCGCAGCCGCTGCCGCCGCAGTGGCTGTCGCCACCGCTGCCGACGCTGCCGCCGCCGCCGCCGCCGCCGCCGCCGCCGCCGCCGCCCCCGCCGCCGCCGCCACCCCTGCCGCCGCCACCGCCGCAGCCGCCGCAGCCGCTGCCCCCGCCGCAGCCGCCGCAGCCGCCGCCGCCGCCAAGTGTACTCTGTTTTTTGACAGGGATGGTGGGGGGGAGCCTGCATCGGGTTCGCTGCGCATGCTCCGAATTTGGAGACATAATGTGTGTTGGCATTGTTTTTTGCAAGGGATGGTGGGGGCAGAGTGTGTTTTGTATGGTTTTTTACAAGGTATGGTGGGGGGGCCCTCATGGACCTGGGTTAGCTCCCAGTCGCCATTGCGCGGGCCGCCGCCAAGCAAAGAGAGTTGCATCTGTACCTCGCAGCCAAGTGGGAGGTGGGTCTTGGAGGCTTCTGGGGCGCTTTTCGGGGATCTCTTGGGTCGTGCTCAGGCGCTCCTGGCCTGCCTGGCGCCTGCGGAGGCCGTTTCCAGGGCCTCTTTGGGCCGTCTAGGGGTCTTCTTGTAGTGTTTTACCGCCGTGTTGGAGGTCCAGGGTGAAAGACGCGAATTTCAAGCTGCAGCGCACAATTCGCTCATCATCCTCTCGGGGTCAGCGGACCTTCTCGGGGCATGCGGAGCTCAAGGCAGCATTTGCGGCTTCTTCACCGGGGAGTCTTTTGTGCGATGCGGCTAGGCCGTTCCGCGGAGGGCTCCCCCGTGTAGGAGCCGACGGGTTTGCCTGCACCATTTTTTCCGAAACACCCCCACTGAATATCTTGTGGCTTCTTCACCGAGGGGCCTTTCGTGCAGGCTGCCGTGCGCGCCGGAGCGTTGTGTGGGGAACGACCGATTCCAAAAAGGGCCCCGGTCCGGGCTTGGGGCCTTTCATGATTCATTGAAGGTTGACAGGGAAAAGAAAGGAACATGAGTAGCTGCCTTTGCCGACGTTGTTTGCTGAGTGCGTCGGAAGCCCTCATGACTCATGCAGCTTTGGAGGCCTTTTCGGGGCCTCTTGGGGGCCTCCAGGGGGCCTCCAGGGGGCCTCCCAGAGACCTCTTGGAGCCTACTCTCAAGCAGTGGCGAAGCGTCCCGGCGTGCCTATAGGCCTACCGAACCATTGCCAAGAACCTTTTTCTGGCTTCCACGACATGTTCTTAGAACATTTCTGGCTGGAGCTGTCTTGTTTTAACACATCGGGTTTATGTTCTGAGAACATCGTTTTCGTTCTTAGAACATTTGTGGGTTCTAAGAACATTTCGTAGTAGGACTATAGGAATGCCGGGACGGTCGGTCCCTGCTCAATACTCGGGCCTGATGGGGGCATTTTCGGGTTGTTGTGGCTTCTTGGGGGCTTCTTGGAGGTCTTTGAATCCTCTTGGGAGCCTCTTGGAGACATCTCGGGAGCTTCTTGGAGGCCTCGTGGGGGCCTCTTGAGGTTACTCGGAGGCTTCTTTGGGGCCTCTTGAATTGTCTTGGGCGTTTGAGGGACCTGCTGGGAGCCTCTTGTGGCGATCTTGAGGGGCTTCTTGGGCATTTTCTGGACGCTGTGCAAAACAAAGAGGCGATAATTTGAACACTGTACCACAACATTTGTTTGTGACGCATTTCGCCTCCTGGATGCGTCTTGGAAGGCCTCGCGGTGTTCTCTTGGGCCTTTTGCGCGGCCTCTTGGGGCCGTCGTGGGGCCATGCCGGCCGCGTTCGAGGCTATGTTGGGCCATCGTGGAGGCCGCAGAGGGCCATCGCGTCCGACTTGGATCAAGCAGGGGCAGTCCTGGAGTCCATCTTCAGGGGTCGTCTTGGCGTCCCAGGGATTTCCTCTCGGACCGTCATAGGGGCGAGAATGTGGGGTGGGGGGGGCGGGTGAGCGGCCAGGAAGGGGCAGGTGCCATGGACCCCTCCCCGTCCCCCGACTGTGTGTGGGGATGTGTTCTGTCGGGACGGCCTAAAAGCGCAAGGCCGTGGCTCGAACGAATGGAATCGTGTTGGGCGGGATGCGTAGAATGGCCCTAATTGTTGCTTATAACGAACACCGGCAAGCCCGACGCACACCAACCGCTGCAAGCGCGGTGGTGGATATGTGCACCGACAGTTTGCCACACACACACACACACACGCGCGGGATCTATGAATAGATATATGTATGCATAGATGTAGAGAGAGATGAGTGAGATGGAGGCGTATTGACATGTATATGCATACGCACACATATGTATATATGTGTGTGCACGGGTTGCTTTGCGCATGTCTATATACATACCTATACATACTTATAACGGGCTGTACATACACATCCCTCCATATACATGTATTTACTGCATACAAGTGCAGTGAGAGACAGAGAGAGAGAGAGAGAGAGAGAGAGACAGCGACCGAAGCACTGATAACGAGAGGGGGAGAGGGTGAACAAGATATATAGAGAGGGAGGGCGACATAGCGGGGCACACGTGCATATACGTACACCCATACATGGTTGTGTATTTACGCGCACAAATTTGTGTGCAGGTATACATATTGGTGTATAACATCATGAAAATGTATGGTATACACATACATATATGTATATGTATGCCTTTGTGTATACATATACATAGATACGTAGCAAGAGGGATCCCTGTAGACACCCAGCGAACACGAAGCTGGTGATCACCAAGAAAGGCGCGGGCTGAGGAGGGACACTGACTGCACTGCGGCCCCCGATGGGGGGTCGGCGGGTATGATCATCTCGTGGACGAGGTGAAGTGGCGCTTCCAGTTCCTCCTCCCCGTCCTTGTCATCCTCCCGCGCTGCCTGCTCTCCCCCTCCTCCGTGCTTGTCGTCACCATCTCCCCTCAGCTCCCATCCCTGTCCCGCGTCTCCGCCTCTCCCACGTCCGCCCTGCTCCTTCTCCCATTCTCCTCCCCGCCCCCCTCTCCTTCGCCTGCCGTCCTGCGTCACACCCTTCTCCTTCTTCTTCTCCTCTCCTACTTGATATCGTCCCTCTTCGTCACTTTCATTCCCCATCATTCTCCATTATTTTCACGCTCCTGCCCCCCCTGCCTCGTCGCTCCTCCCGCCTCCTCCTCCTCCTCCTGTTCCTCCTCTTCCTCCTGCGCAGCGGTCGAGGTGCGCACTTCAATCAGGAGCTGGTGCACTCCCTCTTTCCCCCCCCTCTCCTCCCTCTCCCCCTGCTCATCATCCCTCTCGTCTATCATCCTTCGCATCCCTTCTCCTCCTCCCTATTCTCCTGTTCTCTACCCACGGTGTTTCAAGGCGCCTGAGGCTGCATCTTATCGGGCTTGGGGATGCGACGCCGACGAAGATGATGCTTGTCAGCAGTATTCAGACCCTACCGCTGAGGCTGCCTCCCTGTATGAGTATGTACCTTGTTTATGTTTAAGGGGGACCTCTTCCGATTTCTGCTGGTCAGGTCCCCCCCCTCCCCTGGTTGTATCGGTGGTACTCCTGGGGCCTTGGGCTCGGGCACTTGGATAATCACCGCTGATTGTGCTTTGGGTGCTGTATCATGGAGGCAAGTATAGAAAAAAAGGACCCGCGTTCGCGCCGCTGCGGGCTGCCTGTTCCTTCCATTTCTGAACATGAACCTATCCATCGGTCGTTGAGAGTAGGTATGTTTGAGTCCCAGTTTCCATATCTACATTATGGGCCTTCCTACTTCAATGACCGAGTGGCTTCGTCTTCGTTCCTCTTCAGGGGGGCGGGCGGAGAGACAATCTACTTCAACGCCTTCCGACCGAGGGGTATCAGTGTTCGTGTGTCCATGTCAGGGCCGCTTTTCTGGGCAACGGGCAGCAAGTTGCACGATGTGGGACATCTATGATGTCACTCGCAATGAAGCGGTCATGATTGGATGTCATGTTTTTCGGTGCGTCACCCCACGGGCCCCGATGATGATCGGTGGTTGCGGGTCCGTCCCCTTCTACACCACGGGTGTCTTGGCTAAGTGCTTATGGTTTTCGTCAATCCCCATCTCTCTCCCAGTGCCCTTGCTTCCCACGGGGTCCGTTCTGGCTTGCATCAACGAGGACAAGTCCACCCCGACCCCCATAATCGGCGTTTACTAAACGGCCCCGCGCGTCTACTAAACAGCGCTTTCTTGTTCGATTCCTTCGTCGGGTGCATTTACTAAACGGTTGCGTTGTCGGGGTGCTTATTATCGGGGTGGATCTCCAGCCCTCTATTGCAGCAGGCAGTCGTGTGGCGCACGAGTTAGCATCGGAGGCGGCGCGGCGAGCCCAGACTGCCGAGAGCCGTGCCTTCGAGGTCCTTCGTGCTCGGCGGCGTGCGTGGCCTGGTCGGCATCTACACCTTAGGCGATGCTTAAGAAAACGTAAGTTTTCGGCCAGAGTCTCGATTATTCTTAATGTTTCAATGTAAATCCCAAGAGTTTGATAGAAATGTTGGGTTTTCATTCAAGTTCTGAGACTATGAATTTCTTAACCCATGATTTCTTAAGCATTTCGCAGGGTG